ACGCCTCGCCAACCTGCGAATGGCTGGCTTCGTGATGCCCTGGATGTTATCGCGAAGAACCTTCCTGTGCCTCTTGGCACCTCCCTTTCCCAATCCCTTCCCTCCCTTTCCTCTTCCCGACATGGCTGCTTTCTCTGATTGCTAGCGATTGCTAGGACAATACAATCGATGTCTTCTTTGACGGCTGCTTCTCTCCGCTATCGAGGAGAACACAAAGCGACCGGATGGTAGCAGCACCCGCGATATCTTCGGCGGCTTCTGAACTAGCTATCTAAAAAAAAAAACCGCTACGCCCCATGAAAGAAAAAGAGAGATGAGACAGACGGACCGCTCACTGACAGCTGGTACACCCATGAAATGTTGAAACAAGGGCCCGAGTTCAAATCCAGATGAGTGACCAGTCAGTTCGGCGATGGCCTTGAGGTATTACTGTATCATCTGGATACCCCTGATCGGTATTAGAGGGGTCTATGACCAATACCGGTGTGAGTGCGAGCGCGAGTGGGTTGTGTGTGGTGTGTGCGAGAGTGTTGGCCGTAGCGTCTGCCGCTACTCGATGAGGAGGGGGGGGGGGGTAAGGAAAGGGAGGTCCAGCTGCTGGCAAAATGATCGGTCTTTGCCTTAGCCGGGCCCTGTACGCCCAGTATCGCTGTTGGGGGAGGGGGGCAACATGATTTACCTCGTTTGCCAGGCCCTATGCTTGCGAGTGGGTTGTGTGTGGTGTGTGCGAGAGTGTTGGCCGAAGCGTCTGCCCCTACTCGATGAAAGGGAGGTCCAGCTGCTGGCAAAATGCTCGGTCTTTGCCTTAGCCGGGCCCTGTACCCCCAGTATCGCTGTTGGGGGAGGGGGGCAACATGATTTACCTCGTTTGCCAGGCCCTATGCTTGCAGGAATCCCCTAGAGTCCCCGACCTATGCTTGCAGGAATCCCCTAGAGTCCCCGATATATAGTCTTAGGAGTAGTGGTAGGAAGGTAGTGAAAGGCAATTTTTTTTTGTTTTGTTTTGTTTTGGGAAACAAAAAGAATTTGAGAGAAGAACATAGTAAAAAAAATAAAAATAAAAAAATCATTGGACTAGCCAGCCCAGGTAAATTCAATTTTGTGTCTAATCTGACACCGGGTGGCCTTATTGCCTTCAGGGAACCCCCAGTGGTGACACCGCCCAGGGGACAGCCTGTAGCAGAGGTACCGAGCATCATCTGACTGAGTGGCCAGTCCCTGTGCCTCCCTGATTACCCCTCAACCTATGAACATCAGCAGAGACTGCTTTTTCAATGCCAATTGGGGGGCCCAACGGGCTATCTCTAGGTGGTGGGCGCCAAGCATGCCCAGGAAGGTACATGAGGTCAATGGGATTGAATCCAAGACCTCTTGAATGCCACTTGTGTGCCTTACCAACTGAGCATTCAGCCATGATATCTTTTTTTTCTTCTTTTTTTTTTCCCCAAGGCTTGGACCCCACTGTTAAAAGGATGGAAAAATCCAGTGGCCTAGCTCAGTTGGTTATGCAGGCAAGTGGCATTCATTTAGGAGGTTGTGGGTTTGACCCCCATGACCAAGCCTGTGGTGCACTTAGTGCCAACCAGCGGTGATAGTCCGCTTGATACCTGTGATCGGTATTAGCAGCATCCTTGGCCAACACGGGTGTGAGTGTGAGTGTGAGTGTGAGTGGGTTGTGTGTGGTGTGTGGGAGAGTGTTGGCCTTGGACACTGCTGTTATTCAGTTGAGGGTGGGGGACAATGAAAAGGGAGGCGCAGCTACTGGAAAAATGCTCGGTCTTTGCATTAGCTGGAACTCCACCGGCAGCCCCACCCCATCCTTGACCACCATGGTTGGAGCGGGGGGCAACATGCATCCCCTCTGATGGCTGGAGGGAGACAACAAAAGCTATGTTTGCAGGGGTCCCCTGTATAATCCTTAGGAGTAGTGGTAGGTAGGTAGAGAAGGTGAATTGAAAGAATTTGAAAGATTATGAAAAGTTTGAGAGAAGAATATAGTGCAGTTCAAAAAAAAAAAAAGCGGCCGGCCCAAAAAGACTGACAAAGAATTTTGGAAGCTGGAAAGCAGTTTTGCGGGGACCCCACTGCCAAAGACCAAATGCCTTTGGAAAACCCTTTGGAAATCAGTTGAGCCAATTGTTGCCTGGCTCCGTTGGCACTCATTTGTTTTGTTCTTTTCTTTTTTTCTTTTTTTTTTTGTGGCACTTTTTGTCGTGATTGGCTGCTGCCTCCCGCGAGGCTTTTCCAGGAATGACATGCCCCTCCCCCCTACCCTCTAGAGTCTGCACAAAAATTGCAGCGAGGAATCCTCCTGTGAGACTTTTCCAGGCCGTGGACTATGTGAAAACACAAAATGATGTTTTTTCAAGCCGCAATCTTCGGTCTGTGGGGTTCCAAAGAACGGTTTGCGGAAGAAATTTCACCTTTTCCTGGACATCTGCTGCGGGTTGTGGGGTCCTGGAAACAGTTTCGCGACAAAGTTTTTCCTTTCCGTGGTGCTGTGTGGTCCAAGCCTAAGCTATATTCTTCTCTCAATTTCACCTTTCACAATCTACCCAGCACTACTCCTAAGCCTATAGAGGTAGCTATGCTTGCAGGCGATGCTATCTCAAGGCTGTCACCCTAACCAAAAAAAAAAAAAGAAGATGAAACGTGCCCCTGGAGCCTCTCCCCTGCCGCCACCCCTTAGGGCCCCACAATTTGCGACCATATGTCCCTTTCACGTCATGCAGTCATGGAGAAAACTGAGCGGAGGAAAAGCAACGATGGTTTGCGAAAGAACGGATGCGGAGCATGCGGCCTAGCTTAGTCACGAAAGTGGCATTTGGGAGGTTGTGGGTTCAGTCCCCACTTCCTGGGCCACGCTTGGTGCTAACCAACTGAGGCAGTTGTTCCCGTCGGTACTGGTAGGCTCTCTGGCCATCACATGTGTGTGTGTGTGTGGGTGTGTGTTGTCATATTTGTTATACACTGAAAAAAAGCATGACTGTGCGAGACTGTTTCGTCGGACTTTCACGGACTGATCAGGAGTTTGAACCCTGACAGTCTGCCCAGGATGCATTTGACTAATGGATAAGGACTCACCACATCGCCCAGAGTTAGCTATACCCTTGAAAAAAGTGGTCCACCCCGACCGTCTGCCCAGGATGCATTTGAGTGATGGATACCCCTGAAAAAAGTGGTCCACCCTGACCGTCTGCCCAGGA